TTTTTATTCTTGCAAAAGTTTTCTTTCCCCCTCAAAATGTTTATTCTGTTTCAAAAAGAAAAGAGGATTCTCTTTGTTTTCCAAACTTTAAGATTGTATTTCTTCTTTGCTATACAGCCACGATGTTTACGCCCCTGTGACGTTTCACCTTCAATCTAAACGTCCTGGAGGCGTAATGGGGGGAAAAAGGGATCCCCCCCACCCTTTGTACCGTCTTTGGAGGTAATGACAGTAATGTGTGTGTGTGTGTGTGTGTGTGTGTGTGTGTGTGTGTGTGTGGAGCTCCTGCTATGCCATGCTTCAGCAACGCAGAAACACAATGTGAATTCACAGACTGGGACCCCAATATTACACTGTCATGGAATCAATATGTGCAAAGACATGATGGCTGCTGAGTTTAGTAACGGTGAAGTAGAACACTAAAGTCCGTGTATCAACGAGAGACGATAGCCGATGGAAGCTGATGAAAAAATGGAAGGCCATAAAAACTTCCACTCAGAAAAACGAAAACTTTTATTCTGAGAGAAAACAGCAGTTTAGGAACTCAAAAACATTTTTGCAAGAGAACAGAAAAAAAAAGTTGACTGTTTTTCTCACATCTCAACATTCTTCTTTTCCTCCTTGTCCCTTCGGGGCCTCCGTAGACATCCAACGATTAAGAGGTCTTTGTGATGTGACGATGAGACCGACTGTGAAAGCTCAGCTCTCTGCATACTCGCTCCTGGCAGTTGAGTGTAATTCTGCTGCTTTCCTTGGCTAGTATGAATTCTTTTGGAAACCGCGAGCTTTGGAAGAATACAGTTTGCATTTTCTTACTCATTAGGACATGTGGTCAGGACTGTCGTTAAGATGAAAACAGATCACATCCACGCTCTCTGTTCCTGCAGCCTCACCTCTCCACCTCTTCCTGCACACACACACACACACACACACACACACCTTTCCACAGTGCTATGAAATATTTAAAGTTAAGCTCCAGTTTAGGAGGTGCAATTACAGGCAGTATCCTAGCAGTAGAGGTCATTGAGGGTGCACACTCTGCCATCACCCCCCCCCCACACACACCCTTTCTTTTGCATAAAGACCTGCTTTCAAGATCACGAGTACATTTTTAATTTGAAGTCCTGCCACATCCACCCGGCTGTGTTTTGATCTGTGACTTGTGTAGCATCACATGTCCGTACAGTTTTCATTTTCATACATATTATTCATGTCGCCTGAATAATTCAGCATTTTCAAGGCGCATGCATTATTTACCGTGTTGTCTGTTTGATTATTTCGTCAAAAAAAAAAAAAGAATAAATATGTTAAAAATAAGTCACTTAGAAGCATCCTGAAGCATCTTTGCTCATTCTCAACCCCGTTGTGGATCTTTGCTTTGCCTGCTGGGTTTTATCTCTGCCAAATAAAAGGTCTCTAAACTTCATTAAAACTACAGTTTGTTGATCTTAAAGCAGGACGAGGGAGAAAGTGGAGCCGTCTGAGAAAGAGCAACATGCACGAGAAGTGGGTATGAGGTCATTGTGAGAGTCTTTTCTTGTCTTTTCGTCACTCTGCTGCACCTCCCTGCCCTCACAGACTATCAAATATTCAAAGCGTCTCTGCTCCCGTTCTGCCGCTGCGGACACCTGAGTGCACCGATCTCCAGACCAGCTGAAGGAATCGGCATCGCTCTCTCTCCATTTATTCCCCCGACGAGCAGCAACAACAGAAGGGACTGTGATGTGTAAATAATTAACAGAGATCACCTTTCAAACACCGATCCAGCTCGTAGGTCGCTCTAATACCACATCTGTTTCTTTAAGACGAGGTTCTGCTGAAATAATCATGTCAAACTCTGTCTGCTGGAGCTCAGGTTTCAGACTCTGCAGCACCTGTGTGCAGCAAAAACCTTATTTAAGTCATCAAAATGTACATGAAGTATGACTTTGGAGGTGTAGTACTAAAGTTTAGAAGCTAGTGGAGCTTTCATTTTGAGAAGTTAAAAAAGTTCAGAAGAGTGGCCACTGCTTATTATATATAGTATAAGTACTTTGAAATGCCTCATAAAAGGAAATATTAGTACTTCAAGCTTTACTTTAAAGGGGACATATTGTGAAAAAAAACACTTCTACAGTGTTTCTGAACATATATTTGGTTAACCTGAGTGTCTACCTACCTACAAAATGTGAAATAAACCCATCCAGTCCTTTGTTTGTGGTCTGCATAAGTCTTATAACACAGAGAAAAATGCTCTGTTTCAAATTTCCTCTCCTTGTGATGTCACAGTGGGATTCTGGAAAAGAGAAATCCCCTCCCCTCCCTTGGTATCTCCACCCATAGACTCCACCCCCAGCCTAGAACAAAACTTTTACGCAGGTCGGCCATTTTTTTTCTCGCTAGCGAAGGTGTGATGTCTACTGGGAAAACTCAGGGGGGGTCATTGCATTTAAAGAGACACACACACCAAAACAGAGCGTTCTGAGAGAGCTGGTTTATACAGGGTCACAAACCTCCTCTGGTGCTTGATTCATGTTATATTTTGACCAAATCACAGCACAGATGTTTCATTTAGACCACAGGGGACTGTTTGAAAAGGGGTGAAAGGGGGATAATATGTCCTCTTTAATAGAAATCAAATATAGTGATGAGCATTTTTAGCTCAGTCCAACTTTAGTTTCCCCCATTACACTGATAAACCTACAGACTAAAAATGTAAAAAGAACAAATAAACCTAAAAAGACAGAGCCGCATTCGACTGCAAGTCCCAAGGGTCAAAAATAAGATGCGGGCCCCTCATCATCAAACTCCGACATAATAAAAGCACACAAAAAAAAATCATCACGGGTAGTTTACGATCACAGTTAAATGTCAGGAGGAAATAAAGATAAATGCTCATTGTTTGACGCAAGTACAACATCCGGTCGCTACTAGTCCAGACTCATCGAGTCAGGAGGAGTGACTCCTCCGTCTTAAGTATAATTGGATAGCGGACGCACACACAGGAGAGCTATTACTTAGAGTGTGACCTCTGACCTCTTGTCCAGCTGGTCAGCAGCACGCAGGCACTGAGAGAAGAATGGACAAACTGACAGCATGCAAATCTGCTCCGGCTTTGTTGTCTTTTTTTTTTTTTGTGTGACAATATTTCTTTTACCGCTTTAGGTCTTCTGATCGTTTTTTATCTTTTAAATTGGGAGCAAAGATCAAATTAAAAATGCAAGAATTAATTTAAAAGTTGAAACAAAAACAAACCCGGGGAGGATGTGAGCAGCAGTGGCCTCTAAGCTGATTGACTGCAGGGTGACCTAAAGGATTTACAAATTATCCTCCGGACTCAGGTCATTGTTCCTCACTTGAAAAAGACGAGGCTAAGAAAGTGAAGCAAATTAGTCCCCGTCGGTTGATTCTCATGAGGCAGCTGTCGTGTTGTTTCCTCATATTCTGAGTGTTGGACAACAAGCTTAAATCACACCATAAAACACTGTAAATATATTTTAAAATGAGCTTCACTATATCACCACAGCTTGTAAGCAGTTTCCATGAAAACAACTTGAGTTTTATGTCTATAGCCCTTTTCACACTGCTGTTTAAGCCGCAATATTTACTCATCTCCCTGTTACATTTTGCCTTCAGTCTGAAGTCACAGAGGCGTAATGGGGGGGGGCGATGTGATCCTGAGGCGAGACGGTTTCAGCAGAGCCAGTGGGGCAACACAGCGCTGTGTGTGTGCGTGTGCATGTTTGACTGTGTGTGTATGTGGCGCTCCCGCTGTGAAGTGCTTCCACAACACCTAATCACAATGTGAACTCACAGACTGGGACACCAATATTACGCCATCATGGAAAACACATGAATGTACAAAGACGTGAAGACTGCTGAGCTTAGCTAGGACACTTCTGTCTGAAAATGGCTCCTTTGACGCATACTGGCGTAATACCTCTTTATTTTTCATGTGTCACTTATTTATTTTTAACGTGGTTTAACTGGGACTTGTTCACTTTTTTATGAGTCCGAATTCTTTCCAATACTTTATCACATCTTTTGGAGAAGATATCTTTTAGTTTGTAGAAATATATACGTATTACATTTCGAATGGATTTGTAAAATTAACAAACAGTAAAGCATTAAAAATAAAAAATACTTAAATGTCCTCACACGTCAAATCAGTTCAGCTGCGCAATTCAAAGAGGCAAAAATCCTTCAGAATTTTTCATACTACATTTGGAAAAACAAAAAACTACAAAAAAAAAATTATAATGGAAAAATAGTCCAAAGGTAGAGCTGCAAACTAAATCATCATCAAACATTTAGGCTACACTTGTTCTACTTTTACTCATCAATTCTTTCCATGACATCGTTTACTTAAAATATTTTTATGTAAAGTCTACATTTTAGGATTTATGAAAAAGGAGTATACCGATGAGCCATTCTTTGAGTTGTCAGCAGAAAAAAAAGTGTAACATATTTGGATCAGAAAGACTAAAGCAGTGGATCAACAGAAGAGTAATGTCTGAAAGTAGCACTTAATTCCCTGAAAACACACATTTCCTTTGCTTTGAGAATCCTTTTTCTTCTGTGATTGTGTGAGACTGACTGAAGCGTAAAGCCTCCTCCTCTAATCTCCGGGCTCCTGAGGGCCTCCTACAACAATCAGTGACAGACACTTTAAATGAAAATGCATCTTTTAAATACGCCATTTGTCATTTTTACAGTGTCGATGCATCATGTGGTGACACTTAATGAGGGATGCACTGAGGAGTAACACTAATGGTTTGCACGGCGCTGCAGCTGCAGGCCAGCAGGTGGCCCCACTGCGCCGTCCTGTGGAGGCTGTTGGCTCAGAGACGCGTCCACGTTGTCCCCACTGTTTGCCTTCGCAGTAGTTCCCCTCCCTCTCTCCCTCCCTCCCTCCCTTACTCTCTCTCTCTCGGCGTACAGTATACACCTATCTATCTTCCGCGAGCATCAGCACTCTCTCCATCAGTCTCCGCGATTCGAGCGCTACTACGGCGCAAAGCATGGCATCTCTGCGCCCTGAAAACCCGCTCTCCTCCGCTGCGCACCTCTGCGTCTTTCTGCTGACCGCCTCGGCCTGGATGGCACTGCCGGGACCCACGCGCTGTGACAGCGGGGCTTTAACCCGGCGCGGCCGGGAGGACCGTACGTTGGACATGGGCGGCGGTGGCGGAGGCTCACCGCCGGGTTTACCTAAGGATGTTGACGAGGGAGCCGTCGGCGCGGAGGGCTCACACCGCCTCAGGAGAGCGCTGTCCCGGGATAAACAAATGTCTCTGCTAAGCAGTTCGTTCGTGCTCAAAGGAGATGCGACCCACAACCAGGCGATGGTCCACTGGACAGGAGAGAACAGCAGCGTAAGTAGACGATCCCCGTCCCGTCACGACCATCCCCACCTCGCACCCCCTTTTGTCACCTGCCTCCATCCATCACTCCAACCACAGAGCACAGCATCAGAAACTAGTTATTGTTCCCGCAGGAGGCTGCCTGCTCAGAGAGAGGAGGAGGAGGCGCGGGAGGTTTTTACGCATCCAGGTGGTCCAGCTGCATGCGCGCTGGATGCTGTCATGGTCTTGGCTTTGTTCAAAGATCAGGAGGGTTTTTTTTTCTTTTACCTTTAAATGCATATGGCTATTCACTGTGTAGCCTCAGACTGGCATTACATCACACGGTGGCTCAGGTTCACGAGGAACTTCTTAAATAAAAAAAAGCACATTTCTTTGAACTTTCCTTCATATTTAAAAGCAGTTTCATTAACACAGGCCTCATTTGACTTCAGTAACCCCTTTAATAATCAATTAGCGACCCGGGGAAGGTCCTCTGACCCCACTTTGAGCTCCACAATAATAAGCACTCATGTGGTAACCTCCGCGCGTGTGTGTGTTAACATGCAGGAGGAGTCCAAGGATGCGCACAGAGCAGCGCGGCGTGGAGAAGAGGGGGCGCCCACTAAGCAGACAGTCCGTGATTTTTAGTCACACAAAGCCATGACTGAAATATTGATGGAGCCTTTCTTTCTTTTCTTTTCTTCTTCTTTTTTTTTTTTTTTTTTGTCCATGAATTTTGCAGCGCCTTGTTTATTTCTGTTTTGGCTGCTCTTGTGAAAGTGGATGGCGCCTGCTTGTTACGCCTTAGCTGTCAGTGTCTGCTGAAGTGGTGGCACTGAAGTAGACTTCAGACAGATGTTGTACCAGTCTCTCACCAAAAAAAAAAAAAAAAAAAAGGGGAGTCCCACTGGGATTGAGCAGCACTGTAAGAGGAGACAAAAATAGAACGTGATATGATGCATCCACTCAAATCATTTTTTTAAGACACTGAATGAAACTCTGTTATAATATTCAAAGGTGTATTTGAGTGACTTTGTTGGAGATTTAAGCTGAAGAAGTGTGCTAACTGTATAAACATGATGGCAATTTGTCCTTAGGGCCAGGTCAAGTGAGCTCAGCCCCACTGTGTAAACAGCAGCAGTCTTTGTGATGGGTATTGACAGAAGCAGGGGGGTGTGCGGCTGTTTGAATGGTGGTGTCTGGTGGGGACATCACTTGCAATCAGAGGCTTTCTGTCAGTGTCACACATTGCTGTTTTTTACCGGCTGTGGCTGCAGGCGGCTCTGGGAGAAAAAGACACAACATGAGCGAGGGAATAATGTCACCGTGAAACAGCCAGCAGACCTATTTTGCTCAGATTCGCCGGAGTTTTTGTGACAAATTGGTTGGTAAATACTGTAAACGGTGACATTTGCAGGTATTGCTCGACTTATTGGTTCATCGACAGAAGTGAGAGATTAAAATCAGAGGCGCTCAGGGCGCTTTGACACAATTGCGGGGTTGAGATGGTAGCAAGAAGATGAGAAAATTGAGGTGATGAAGCGAGAATTATTGTGAATTTGTTAATTCAGAGGAGGGCAGAGGAACTGATAATTTTAACCCAGATTACTTTTACAGCATGTGTTATGGAGCTTGTTTCCAACATGTTGTAAACTTTACAGCTTTAAAGGAGCAATCTGTAAGATATCTAAAGAATGAAATGAATGATAAAGTGATCTTACTATATGATCAGACATTAAGGAAACATGCTATGTTGAAGTGCTGGCTTCTCTGACAACAATGCAGCAGCATCAGGTCAAACCAACAGGTGTTGCAGTGATGGAAGCGGGCAAGAGAAGTGGTTCAGATAGAAGTGATTGTACCCGACCTAAAAAGCCTCTGCATGTTTCTAATAAGCTCCACGAGCAGAAACGTGCTCAAACTAGGATCAATATTGGAGATGCTTTTGAAAAATGGAGAGAGGTTAGAACACAGAAAGGTTTACAGACCGATGCAGAGCTGGATAAACACTGAAGCTTCAGTGTTCACCACATGGTGACCTGTGAGAGCATCAACTCTAGAGAGGAGGGGGGAGGGGGGAGACAGCTCTCTATGATGTTTAGAATTTGGACAAACGCTACGTGTCAGAGTTAGGTGTTGCTCTTTTAAATGTGCTCTTATTTTTGTCTTCAAATTATATTTGGATGATGTATTTGTGAAAACATCAAAGCCCAGAGCCTCTGAGTGGCTGTTTCCCATGGCAGCAGATGATTGACATCAGGGCTGGTGTTGCTAGAAATATACTGCAAACATGACATTTATAATACTGTGACACCCCGCCCCCTTTTAAGGCGAGTTGATGTAGCACACTTTAGTTAGCTCGTAGCTTCATATTGCACATAAATTGACACAGAATGACCGTGATCTAAAAACTTGAGCTTCAGGATACACTTCATTTCTGATTAATTTACGTGTAACATGTCACACATTCTTCCTTTTAAAAGAGTTCAGGCTTGATCCGTTCAAACTGGTCAAAGTCGATCCTGAAGGACTCTGCATCTTAAATCTTAAAGATGTGTGGGATTGTCGTCCTTTGGCATTTAGGACCGGACATTTAGGCCGTAAAAAATGACATTCTCCCAGTGGACCCTGGCAAAATGAACTCCTCCTCCTCATCTACACTTTTTTTGGTTTAATTGAGGCAGTGATTCTGCATGCCTCTTAGCCCCACGGCTGTGCCAGTCACATGGACTCAGAGTTGGACTCACCTTCAGTTAGCTCGGCGTGGGTTTGCATTCTGAAAGGTCATTTCGACGTAGTCCATCCCAGCCTAATAAACACAGACAAATGGTGCCATTCAATTTCCCCTGAGCTGGCATTTATGAGTGCCGTGCAGATTGATGGGTGAGGAAAATGAATCTCCGCCGCCCCTCTTGTTCCATAATTTCAATTTGGAGTCTTTGCTGTTCATAAAGTAAAATGCTGATGAGAGGGTCAACAGCATGGAGGACTTTAGCCGCCAAATATTTCTTAAAGATGGGTAATTTTTCCTGGAAACACAAATTGAACCTTCAGGCTAATCACCACATCATTGCACTCTGACTGTGATATGTGTGTGTGTCTGTTTTCTGGCTGATTTCTATCGTTTTTTTTAGGATGTGAGTGTTTTAACAGGACGATGAATTCTGCTTTCAGCTTTGTAGTGACAAGGGTTGTTATTTAAAACAGCTCTTGTGTACCCTCATGTGTCCCTGAAGTTGTGAAGGCGACAATCACTTTCCTTCGGCATGCCTTGATTGGACGATTTATGTCTTAAGAGCATGAAAGGACTCTCCCTTGGGCGTTTCCAGAAGAGTCCTTGAAGAGCAGAGAAAGGTGCTGCAGTTGGAGCATTTTGAGGATACTTAAGTTAAACAGAGAAAGATGTGCATGTGGAATAAATAAAGTCCAATAATGCAAAGGTTTAAGGTTGCAGCAGCAGCAGCGTTTTGATTGTATTTATGAAACCTGTGAATAAGCAGCGCTGAGAGAACGTCTTAGAAAGTGACTCAAAAGAAAAGAAGGTTTTTTTTTTGTATCACTAGTCTGCTCATTATCCAGAGCATGGTGTGTCTGTAATCAAAAATAGTAAAGTCTGTCTGTTAATATCAAAGAGGCAAAAAGGCAGCAGCTTTGTTTTAACATGGAGCGTCACGATGAAGGAATTCCCTCGTCCCTGTGAGGCTTTTCTCAATCTGAGAATTCAAGGTGGAGACCTGCTTTGAAATGAATTAATTGTGAGAAAGTGGCAAGGTAAAAGCAAATTAAAACGGGCTATACTTCTGGTAAAAGGCATTCATGAACGTTTATTAAAGGTACACACACTCTTTAAGTGTTTAGTGTTGCACTAGATTTCATGATTTGCACATGGCGGGTTTTAAGAGAGAATGGTCAGCGGTGAAACAGAAGATGCAAAGAAAAAATTACTTTTGGCCCCAACTTTTGGTCGATTCCAGACAAGCGTGCAAAACCTGCAGTTCCCTGAGTGTCCACTTGAGGCAGAGAATCCCCATGAGGCCTCACATCCAAATATCCATATACAGCAGAATTAAACACATTAAACAGTTTTGGTCCGATTAGCTGATGTTTTTATTGGTATTTTGGTTTTAACTGTTGGGGGGGGGGGGGGGGATTCTTTAAAGTAACTCACTTGTTTTGATTTACATTAAGACCCAGAGTTAGGCTTACATTTTTATAATAAGGGGCGTGGTCAAGTTATCTAACAGGTATGTAGGCATGTTGTTACTGTTGACAAGAAACCAGAAAAGTCAGCACACTCAACGTCCTTTAACGTTTTATTATCTGGGTACTGAGAAACATGTTTGAACACAAATCCTCATCAGCGTTGTTGTTTTTGTTGTTGTTGCCGTTCTTGCTGGTTGCAAAAAGGCTCAAAAGCCCGCCTCAGTCTTTTTCTAGATGGTTCCAAAGTGAGTCTGTATTTCCAATATGGCAACCACCATTGTTGGGCTGTATTTCACCTCTTGAGAAACCAACGGGTGACGTCATTGACACGACCTCCATGTTCCATAAAGTCTATGATCTACGTTTTTAAAAGACATTTACCAGAATTAACCATGATGACATCATCAGAGATAAAAGCCTCCCTGGAGCATCATAAAAAAAACTTTCACAGCTGTTTTCCACATAATGAGATGCTGAAAAATCAGTTTAAACCAACTAAAAGATTTGATAAAGCCTGACTTACAATTGGCTGGATAGCATCACATCACTGCACTTTTCCCTCTGAGGTCGTCTCAGTTTTTATCGTACTACAGACAGTTATATCATCAGAATTACTTCAAACATCATTTAAAAAAAATCGACTCAGAAGGGATTAAATCATGCAGAGTATGAACAACCGATTTAAATATTACAGCTCTCAGGACATGCACTGATAGGAGGATTTTATTTATTCTGAAAGAAGGAATGTAGAATCATTATTCAGCGATGTAGAAATAAAAACATGACATCCTGTGACGGGACACACGATAACGACCTTCTGAATAAAG